TTAACAAATGGAAGAAGCCAAGTGATATTAAAGAATTCTTAATGTTCCAGTACTTATTAAATCCAATGAATAATTAATACAAGCCATCTTAATGTCTCCATGAGAGGAGACCCTTTGAGAGACCTTTCCCTGAACACTGCTGTATTAGAAACAGTTGCTGCCTGTGTCTCCATCCTGAGACTGTCTGCCCACCGGGGACAGGACTACAGCCTCCCTCATTGCCTGCAAAATGTTAGGCACACAGTAAGTACTCAGGAAATCCTGGTTTACTAGAGCACATAGTAGAGATGCTAATTGGTGACAGGAATTCCAGGATTTGCACTGTATGGCATATTTGATAAGAGTGTACCTTTGAATGAATGGGGGAAGAAAGGAATTGCTGAGCAAATGTAACTAAGACCATAAGGATATGCTTATAGTGTTTACTCGGCAGCATATATTCAGAAGAGTAAGTGTTGCTTATTGCCATCAGGGACCGGTTCTGATGTTTGCAGTACATAATGCTGACCTGATATATTATTGTAAGTCTGTTTAATTTACTGATTGAATAGAGATTTTAACTCCACAACTATTTGGTCCATTCATTTCTTCAGCTATAGTCACTTGCTCAGAGAGGTCTTTTTCTCTACTTACTACAGTTTTATTATACTTATAAGATGTAAATTTCATTTACTAAGGGCTATAATCTAGTCTAAACCTGTTAGGGATACAATGAACTAGAAAAGTGGAAGCACAGGCAGATGTGTATTTGCTACCCTTTGTGCAGGCATCTGCTGGTAAGTGGCTGCCTGGTCACATATACTGTGCGAATTCTGCATCCTTCTCTTTAACCCTCCTGGCTTCTGAACAATCAGAGGCTCTGTGACAACTGGGCCGTGTCCCGTGTTCTATACACCAACACCTGCTCCGTTGCTTTCTGACAGAATAAGCGGGCCAGATACCAACCAAGCCTGGAAAGCGTGTTTGCCTTATTTTGATCAAGTCTGAATAGTGCATGTTACCCCCGGAGCTGCTCCTCTTTCGTGTGAACTGCTTGAGATGGGAATTTTTTTTATCCGCAGTTACAGATCAAGTGTGTGCTCCTGTGTCCTACGCCTGGGATGCTAATGAAGGACACCTGTATTTCAAGGCTGCGGTTAATTTGTATAATTTATTCCTGTGCAGTTTTACAATCACGGCGCATACTTCCATTTCTCTGAACCTTTTGGATTTAATTCGAATGGCAACAACCAGTGCTGAGGAGCGCTCCACATTGGATGCCTCGTCTTTTGATTTTTTCTTAGTAGGTGATGTTTCCTTGCTCCTTTCTGTCACTGAGAGGCATGTCAGGCAGGGAGGAGCTCACACTTTCCACTGAGTTTATAATCAACAAATGCTTATCTTGAGGATAGAGCTGACACTCAAGTACCTATCTCTCGAGCTTCTCTTTCAAGGACTATAAAAGCAAGTTCTCTTCTGAAGTCCTTATTTTCCAACTCCTCTTGCAGCTGCTGACAGCCTGGAGGTGTAGCCACTTCTGCAGCTGCATTTATTGGTTTCCCTCTCGGAACTGGCTGAGGTGTCACCCGAGGAGCCGTGGCTGGCCTATTTTCAGGGTGTTTATTCCTCTCCTGGGGTGGCTCACTGGGATCCACACCCGTTTTGGCTAATCAGTGACCTGACAGGTTGCCGTTGGTCTTTTCCTCCTTTCACTGGTGCCTTCGCTTATCTCCCTGTCACAGCTCACCTTAAGAACTCCCAGCTCGAGTTTTGCATTTCTCTTCACTGAGATCAGCTTTTCCTTGACAAGTCCTGGAGGCCAGATAAGGGTATGGCTTCTAAGCAGCTTTGAATTCAGAGATCTGTAGGTATCAGAGGATGCGCTGGTGGGTATCACTTAAATCCTGTGCCTGCAGTCATTCTTCTGTGACCTCATCATCCAAGTCCACCCTTTCCAGGCTGTAAGCCTGCAGGTTCCCTCACAAGTTAAGTGTGACTCCTGCATTACCCCTGTAAGAGTCTTTTAAGGACAGAACTTATGCCAAGTTTAGGATCTTACTCAGCAAAGGAAGGAAACTAACAGGTTTAAATTAATATTGGGCAGAAAATACAGCTGTTCTGTGATCGGGTTCCACCTGGACAAGGTGGGTTATATTCTTGGTTCTATCTGTGGGTAACCCACGCATTTTCTTTTGTTGTTATCATGCTTTGTTATCTTCTCTTCTGAAGAATATTATTAGAATATACTCTAGTTTATCTTGGATGAAAAAATTCTGTTCCTCATGTAGTCTGGTGCGGGGAGGAATACATGTCTTACTCCTGTGGCTGCTCCTAATACATCGGGATCGTTTGCAGGGCCATGAATGTGGCCGTGTCCTTGGTCTGCTCCTCGGGCAATGAGTGAGTCCCGCAGACCGATACCACTCTCCTGAGAAAGGCCCGCTTGCAAGGCGGGCCCTGGGCTGGCTTCAGGGAACATGACTGGTGAACAGTCCCCTGCACTCAGACAAACGGTGCTGGCGCGCTCGTAAAGGCGGCTCATCAGACTCATACTGCCTGTGCAAATGATGCCCCTCGCGCTTAACAGGGGCTTTCCTCCTGGGAGCCCGGAGTTTTAGTATTCTTCCAGCAGAGGGCGCTCTGCACACCAGCCTAAGTGAGCACCACCATGCTGGGCTGCTAATGAACGTCCAAGGCCTTCAGGGCAGTTTTTTCGCTCAGGGCACAGTGCACACTGGGTGAGGCGCTTTATCGGAGAGAAAGAGCGTAAAGAAGCCCAAGTGAGGGCGCCTCTTGACTGCCCCCGTCTTCCCCACAAGACCCCGCTGTGGGCCATCACTCCAGAGCGCTAATAAATCTCAGCCGTGACGCAACGCTACTGTGGGACCCGGAGTGCTCCTGGCAGATCTCTGAATGAAGGAGTGGTCTCGGGGAAACCCGACTTCCCCTAGTTGTCAGGAAATCCCAGATGTAGCATTTGATGGCATTATCCTCAAACATGCTGGCCGCATCCGGAATCCCCTGGGTTTCTCCAGGCATTTTTCAGTTTGGCTTTTCCAGACGCACCGATGTGTTCTAGGTTCATAACTGTTCTTTCACTTTCCTAAAGGAGAGTGCCCTCCTCTGCTCGGGTTTTCATTTTGTGGCACCATCTTCGAGCGTATTTTATAGTGAAATCCATGCCCATATTCTATCAAAAGTCTCTGGTGAGCTCTAACCTTTCTGATAGGAAAGTCTGCCTGAAGATCTAGAAGAAAATCTGTAAAGCAGTGATAGCTAAGAATATCGACAACTGGCCCCGCAAAAGTGTGTCCACATGTTTAAAAAAGTTCTCCAAGCTGGCGAACTTGATGTTAATGATGTTCATGAAATAATGTAGACATGATCTTGACTCTTGGTTTTGTTCTGTAGCAGGTTTTTATTTTTTTATTCAAGGTGACTCCAGGGGCTTGAACACGTCTGCATTCCGTGGGACCTGTGCCACAGCTGGTCAGTACAGTTCCCTTAACCGTTCACTGTACACAGCACCTGGGGTGGTGGACGCTGAAAGTGTGGACGAGCAACAATTCTATGAAAGAGTGAACAGCAGGCGCAGGTACTTGGGTCAGGTTTACTCTTTGAAGATTAACTTCTTAGAACAGTAATAACACCAGTAACTCCATGAAAATTACTTGGTGTATCCAATAGGTCTTGCCATGGAGTGAAGTATAACTCTACTGGGAGGAACTTTTAAATAAGTGATAGAGTTTCACAGGTCACTTTGATATTATTGTATCAGCTAATGCTCTAGGGTGTAAAAAGTTATTCTGTTCCAAGAGTTCAGATTCTTTACAAAGGAATTAATGTTGGTGCCATTTAGCAGAATCAGGCTTGTACTTATCACTAATATTAATATTTAAAAATATTTCATTAGATCCAAGCATTAAAGGGGGAGGATAAAACATTTCCTTGGGCATAGAGCCAGCTCTGTAGAAATCGCTGATGTGTTCCGACTCAATGTGAGAGACTGCTGGGCTTTTTGTAGGTGTTGTCAAGACACAGGAAGCAAAAAGTTTTGAAGGGCCTTTGAATTCAGATATTTTAATAAATTCATGATATTGACCTACTCTGCTAAATCAGGAGATGTTCCTTCTTTAGGTGTTACTTCTTTTCCTACAAAAATGCATTGATTGAAAGAGAAAAGTGCTCTGAAGTTCTGGCAGATGGGGACAGAGCTGGGAGTAGGGCACTTTCCTAGAACCATGAGCCCATTACTCAGATCAGTGGTCAGACCTTCTTTCCCCACTGTGAACACCGTGATCTGTTGTTCTGTCTTCACTGATGTCTGTTTATAAAGACCCGCTCAGGCATCAAGCTTTGCATGTCATGAGCTCTCAGCTGATTCTGGTTGATTAGTTACGCTGTTGGTGGAGTCTGTAATGTGCTGCTGGGAAATAGGAACCTCAAGCATTTCTGAAGGCAAATCTAGGAGTTAAAGTATAGTCGAAAGCTTTCCTCAAAAGACACGCAGAAACACAATAAGGAATGAAATTTTGGAATAACTCTTAAGTGCTAAGAAATACGACCATTGCATGAACTGAAGTTAACAGTTTAAACCTCAGCCCCTGAAGACTTGCTCCTGCTTGCGGCCTGGCCCCCTTATACACCATGTGAGCAGTCAAATGCATGAGTAGTTTTAGGCAACAACTGATAAATTACTGTAGACTCAAATGAACAGGATCATCTGCCAAATCGCAAATGTTCTAATAGGTAAGTGGCGCGGGGTCTCCCTGCACGCTCAGAGATGCCCTGAAGGTCTTAACGTTGGCTATCTTCAACATTCCCTAATCTAGGGTGCGAGAAACAAAGCGCTCACACACGTATACATCCTGGGCTTAAATATACATGTGCACATCTGCATCTACTGATAGCTAAATACACATTTCGATGGAAAGACAACTGATGTAATTTTATAAATAAGCTCAGGCACTTTATGGTACACAGAAGCAGCAGAAAATAGAGAATCAAAACACGAAACGCACCATACTCCGGGACCTGTCCTGTGCCTCTCTTGAGCAGCAGCCGTACCCGCCTTCCTCCGGATTTGATGAGTTCTATTGCTCTGGCGTGGGTCATGTCCCTTGTGCTTTCCCCATTGATTTCAATGATTTGATCACCTACCTGTTAATTAAAGAAAAATGAAGTCAGCCAAAGAGGGTTTTTACTTAAGTTGTATTTCCAATGATTAAAAAGCAGAAGCGACCCTAGAACACCTATTTCCTAAGACAGCTGAGCAGGCTGGTTGCAGTGTACTGCAGCTCGAAGTGGCCAGTGCCTGCCTGTGGCCTGTATCTGACCCCCCACATTTTATCTACCTTCATCAGACCATGGCTGTGGCTGCTGGCTTCTTATACTTAGCCAATGTGGCAGTGGCTGTAGTTAAACTAGCTAGCATTTAAAACAAGTAGAAAATACATCTGATACCACAGTTCAAAATAACCTGGCACTTTTGCTTTAAATCAAGAAGTAAATACCTAAGAACTTTTCATTGACTATATCCCCAGCTTTTGGCTTAGAGCGCTACCTCAGCATGCTGCAGGGAGTGGCTGAACTTTGTGCATCTCTCAGAAGTTCTGTGATGCATCCTCTACATTTTCCTGGGTGCTACTGCAATATCGCTTTCATTGCAAACAGTGGTTGGTTGATATTGAAGTTTGATGGAGAGTTTTCTGTCATAGTCCTTGAATTAAAAAGGAGATCCTGTACTCTCTGCACACGACTAATACCCTTGTGAAAACTTTGCCTTGCTCTCACCTGCTTGCCAGAAACTGGTTAAACACCAATCCCTCCTGATTTGCCACAAATGCCTGGATTCCACGAGCAATTCCTGTTCAGCCTTTTTGAATAGATATTTGGAATAAAAGAGGTTCAGCCACCCTGTCACCCCCACAGTAGCATTGCCGTCAGAACTCTTGGAGTTAAAATGTCTCTTTCAGTACAAGTTACTTCAGACAAATTAGCTAGAAAAACACAATGAGTTGTTTTGCAAAAATGCTATCCTAGTTGGGTCTCTTCAGCAAAGCAGATCTTAGCTTCAATTCTGCAACGCAGACAAAACTGCCACAGAATCATGCAGGAGCACACAGCAGGTCGGACAGGACCGGGAACAGAGAGGGACAGTGGGCACCACAATGGCAAGAGGGACTGGGACCAAAGTGCCCCAAAGTGGGGGCAGAGAACAAACACGCATTTGTTGTAGCAAAGACGGGACACCTCCCCCTGAAGGGGACTCCTAAGGGGTCCTTACCCTTTCCAGGATAATAGACTTCCCTCCGCATGCTCGGGCCTTTGGAAGCACAGGTTAGGGGGATGGAAGAGGACAGCCTCACAGGGTGACTCCGCATTCCATGGAAGGTCCAGGAGGATGGGCTAAGTGTACTTTAGGGCCAGCACCTTTCCCCAGGTTTTCATAGCTGTCTCCTTTCTTCTGAGGCAATAGGCATAACCTGGAGCTGAGCAGCTGTCCAGAGGCTGCGACTCTCAGTCGTGCCAGAGGTAGGAGCAGCGATGCCTCCTCCTGTCCTCACCCAGCCCCTAGGCTTCGCCTCCCGGTACTAAATGATAAAGCTGAAACCAAAGTTCCAAGACATCATGGAGTTCATTCCTGGCTCGACTCTCTTCCGCACTTCAGACCATGAAGCTGGTTACTAAGCACCTTCACCTGGGTGTCCCAGAGGCCGCTCCAACAGCACTGGATGGGGCTTCACGGTCTTTCTCCGCCCTTCGCCCAAGTCAGGAGTGTGCGGGTCACGTGGGGGCCTTATTTCCGCAGCTTCTCCGCGCCCATCCCTACCCTCCTATGTGTCCCGTGGCTTGCTAGCTCAGTCTGGGTCTTGCTTGGGTCATTCCTACCTTCTCTGCTCTTCTGCTCTCCAGCACCAAAGACATTCCTAGGAGGGAAGTCGTTCTGAATGTGTCACGCTCAGTGGGGCAGCCAGCCCCTTCCAAGTGCCACTGTTCTCACTGTCATCTCTCCCCCAAAGCCTGGAGATCTCCTGACCCTTCTGAAGGTCAGTCCAAGCATCTTCTCGGGGGCGCCTCCCCAGCCCTGTTCAAGGTGTCCAGCAGACAGAGGAGCCCGGCTTTTCATTTGCCACTGCTCCCCGCTGAGTTATCCTGCCTTGTTACAGATTTGTGACTCTCTCTCTTTCCCCCTAGTGTTTCCTTCAGTGAACGCTTTTTGGCACCTACTACGTGCCAGAGACTCTCCTGGGGAAGTAGAGACAAATAGTATCATTTCTATTCACAGTACATTTTCAGTCTAGTTGGGGAAGGAAGTGGGTAAGTCAGATAATTACCATTCCATGCGTCTTCGCTATGAGAGATGCCCTCATAGAGCATCAAGGGGACAGAAAGGAGGGACACGGACTCCAGGAGGGGTGGGGGGTTAAGGAGGGTTGCTGGGAGGAGGTGGCATCTCAGCTGAGGTTTGAACTATCGATAGCAGCCCCCAGAGGAGAGGTACACTTAGTAGAAAGCGGCAGGACACAAGGTGGAACTGGGGATGCGTAGTTTATTGTGCGACTCAGAAGTCTGGGCTTTATTTTGAAGGCAGCAGGAAGGCACTGAAAGTCTTATTTTTTTTGTTTTTTTTTTTTTTTTTTCTCCTGTACCGGGAACCGAACTCACGACCTTGCGCTTGCCAGGCAGGTGCTTTTGCCACTGAGCTAAATCCCCAGCCCGGCACTGAAAGTCTTAAACAGGAAGTGAGTTGGCCATGGAAGCAAGTGCTTATGTGTCCCCAGGACAGGACAGCGCAGGGAGCTGAGCGGGACTAAGGGGGAGCCGAGCTGTGGCGCCGAGCATGGTGTCTCTCCAGGTGACATGCTGGGAGGCCGGGTCCCACAGCTGTGCAGCTATGAGGCGCGATCTGCATTTGTGAATGGGTGGAGTGTTTCCATGTTGCTCATTGTGAGAACCATGGGGGAAGGGGCGACCAGCTCTTGTTGCCCCCAGATCAAACTCTGACAGTCACTACTGCCTGGGGACTCCTGTGTCCTGCCTCTGACGGTTGGACACAAAACTATGTGCAAGGAGAAGGAGGGTGCTAGGGGTCCGTGCTGTCAGAAACGGTGGGTGCTTCTGTTCTCTGGTCTCACCCTTGAGCGGACAGGACTTGGAAGAGTTGATGTTTCCACTCTCTTCTGTGGAATTTCCCTTTTCTGTACAGGGCTTATGAGAATTAAGGGGGAAAAGGTAGGAGGAAAAGGGGTGGCTTGGAAAACTGGGAGGTGGAGAAGCAGGGGTTCAAGGGCTGCGCTGACACCCGCCTATGTGAGCAGAAGGGATGTGGCTCTGGGCAGGGTTGGGCGTTATTTTCATCGACTTCGCAGGAGCCTGGGCAGAAGTTTCCATTATGTCACTTTCTACCCAGCTCCTCCTCAGAGGTTGAAGACACCAACTGATCCCCAGGGGACCCAGGGCCACAGCTCCTCATTGAACTGAGCTCCCTTCCCATTCCAGGGGGCCAGTAGGGGGCAGCCTGCTGACTTCTGATATCACTGGGACCGAAGAAAGTTCGGGATGCTGTAAAATACCACCAAATTCAGCAAACAGTGGGTGCAAGTGGTTAGATACAGGGTGGAACAACCCGCTGACACAGACTCAATGACACAGGGTGTTCTGGGCCTCTAGAAGTGGGGTAACTCATCTGGGTTAGTTTCAGTGGCAGCAGACTCCGCCTAGAATCAAGACTCCTATCTCTCCTGTGACAATACACATGAAAAGATTTAATTTTCACTTCAGTATCAGTACATGTGGAATCATTTTAACTCCCTAAAAGCTTCTGGAATGTGACAGCCTTCACGCCTTCCTCTCGGTCTCTGGATAAGAGGTTCTTTCTTTGCCTTTTGACCTGATCTGACTTCCCTGCAGCTGCTGGGGTGTGGGCAAAGAGCACCACTTCCCTATGGCACCACTGGGGAATTAGCTTGATGAAAGCAGTGGGACATTCACAGCCCTTCAGGATGAAGGAAATGACCAGCCCTGACTCTGATGTACTCCTCCTGTAGTCTTTGTGCTACGGAACCATCTTCAGCTGAGCCTTGTTACTAATATGAATATTTAATAACCTCCATGTGTTCTTCGAGAAGTTTTAGTACGTCACAGTCCAGCTGGGTGTGGTGGCACATGCCTACAATTCCAGCACTCTGGCAGGCTGAGGCAGGAGGATTGCAAGTTTGAGCCTAGCCTGGGCAACTTAGTGACTTAGTGAGTTCCCATCTCAAAATTATAAGGTAGGAGAAGAGCTGGAGATGTAGCTCAGTGCTAAGGCCCTGGGCTCAATCTCCAGTACTGAAAAAAAAGTTACATTCCAGTTAGAATTGAGAGAGATAGAGAGGGGAGGAAGAAGAGGATGAGAGAGAGGGAGAGAAAAGAAGAAGAAAAGTAAGAGGAGGAGGAAGAGGAGGACGAGAAAGAGAAGGAAAGGGGGAGGGGAGCACAGCGGAGTGGAACAGAGCAGAGTAGAGCAGAGCAGAGTTCAAAACCTTTCAGGAAGGTGTGTGTGTGTAGCTTTCTGTGGGTCAAGAAGATACCAACTTTGGTGAAGTGACCAAAGGACTTCAGAGGAATTCTTAGGAAGACATACTTTTATCTGTGGTCCGTTGGGGCCCCTAACAAACTTAGAGTAAAGTCGTTTCTCAGGGTGAGGCAGCTGAGATGACTGCTATCCCTTGGCAAGTCTAATAACTCTGCATTTCTATTCACGTATTCCTGCTCATATATCACAGCAGATTTCCTTTAACAAAAGTATTACCAAATCCTTGAGCTTGCTTGAGGCTCTGCATATAAATACATTTTCTCTTATTGGAAGGCCAGTGTAAGTAAATGGAAATGTTCAGTGTTTAAGTGATTAATAATTCAAGAGGTAAGAAAAGTTTAAAAGTTTGTACTGCAGTTGTTTTTGTAGCCAAGGCATGTAGGGAGTATTTGGTTTGACTCAGTGCAGTCTTCTTGTTTTTTGTTTCTGTAGAGCTGGGGATCTACCCCAGGACTTCACACATGCTAGGCAAGTGCTCTACCACTTATCTAACTCACCGACCCTCAACAAAATCTTTACAAGAATTAGCTTAAGTCCTGAATTTACTTCAGCCCCACGCTGTGGTAGTCCCAGCCCAAAT